AATGATGACAGAGAATCATTGATTGGCTGCCTCCTGCATGCACCCTACTGGGGTTTGAGCCTGCAATTCAGACATGTGCCCTTGACCGGAATTGAACCCAGGACCCTTCAGTCCGCAGACTGAGGCTCTATCCACTGAGCAAACCAGCTGGGGCATGAATTTTTCTTAATGAGACCAAGTGCTTGGGGCCCTTTCACAGGGACATTTATTTAACTTTTCTCATTCATTAATGGAAAGGTTTTATATTCACATTTCTATTGCCTCCTGCTGGGATCATTTCACAAACCCTAGTTATCTCATTAGGAACAAGAAACCACTATTTCCAGGAAACATTATGGGATATTAAATTGTGGATAACAGTACCTGTGTGTGTTACTCTTAAAACTCAATATCATACAAGTTAATGGATAAAATATATTAATTTTGCTGGAGGTGGAGAGCAGCTGGGAAAAGGAAGTTAGAGGGTGAAAAAGTGACTATTTGATTAACAAAAATAATATTCATTTTGCAGAACAATTTCCCTTATATTATGAACTCCCCAAATGCATTTAAAATACAATTCAATTTGCCACAATTTGATTAACATACAGGTTTTTTTCCCCTATGACATGAACACGTCAATCTCTGTTTCCCTAAAACTACAATACTGTATTTTGAGCTGTGTGCTCCAATGACAAAGCAGATGGAGGAAGCACCTCCAATCATAATGCTCCGTGACCCATTTGCAAAATTTTTAAAAAATATATATTTTACTGATTTTTTTACAGAGAGGAACGGAGAGGGAGAGAGAGTTAGAAACATCGATGAGAGAGAAACATCGATCAGCTGCCTCCTGCACACCCCCTACTGGGGATTTGCCCGCAACCAAGGTACATGCCCTTGACCGGAATCAAACCTGAGACCCTTGAGTCGGCAGGCTGACTCTCTATCCACTGAGCCAAACCGGTTAGGGCCATTTGCAAAATTTTTATTGTGCATTTTCAACATTGTATGCTTTGCTCCACACCCTGGGGAGGAATGCCTCTAGCAGCAGATGCACCTACAGTTCTAATGGATTGGAAGGTGAGGTTTCCACAGGCCTCTAGGTGAACAAAGGAAGAGGAGTTACAGTGTAGATGGGGTGATTGTTACAGTGTAGATGGGGTGATTATGGGGTGCCTGACCCCTAAGTGAAGTGGGATTGCTGCCTATAGAAAGCAGGGATCTGAGTCACCCAGGTCCCTTTGAAGGAAGGACTTGCGACTCTCAGCTGCACAGAGCTGCCTCAGCCAGGGCCAGACCCTTCCTGGGATAGCCCATGTGAGGCAGTGATCCCTCCAGAGCTCCCCACCAGGCTGGCACACAGTTCAATTCTGCCTCTGCCCCTGTAACATCACAGGTGGGGATCACTTCCAGAGAACCCAATGGGCACCATGGCTCACAGTGAGGGGGAGAAGGAATATGGGTAGGCCTCCAGGGAACCACTGGGTTCCCTCCTCCACTGCCACAGCTACTGCCAATGGTGAGAGTAAGTGGAACAATACAGTAACCTGATAGAAACCAGATCACAAAAGGCTCAGATCTCGCCGAATTTAAGGTTTGGTTCACTTTCATCAGGTAAAAATTTCCAACCAGATGAGATGCTGGTGAAAAGCCAAAGGACCATGAACTAGGTGGTGGAAAAATAAGTCATAAAAACCAACGTTGGTATTTATACAGCATTGCAGAAATAAGAACAATTTTAGCAACACATATTTTCTCTACTGCGCCATGAATATGCTAATGTACTCTAGTTTCCCTCTTCTTTCTTCTCCCTTGCCCCCCACAGCTACATAGAGAGCATGTTAGCTTTAAATATTAGTCTACATATTACAGACTATCGATCAGAGCCGTGATAGAATAAAAGAGAAATGGAACAGATATCTGGGACTTGAAGCTGGATAACTGTTTCAGTTCTGGAACTTAAAAGGAGAGGTGGGTATAATTTCGTTTGCTCAGGATGATTTAATTTTGTTAGGTGAGAGCACTTTGGGGATGACAAGTATGTGAAGAAATATATACATTGATCTTGAGCAGTGAAGGAGTGGAATGTAAGAAATATTACTTTCAGATCTAACCTTCACTGAACACTTGAAAGAACTCATTTAATAAATTAACTCATTTAATCCTCACGACAGCACTACGAGAGTGGTACTATTATCCTCTCCATTT